CCCCAAATAATCACCTCGTCCCCTCTAACTAATCCCCCTCCTCCCACCCCACTTCCAAATCCCCCATTTCTCTTTACCTGAGATCAAAAGCTCCATGGAATTAGTCGCAGAAATGATTCTGCTTTTGTCCTTCAAAGTGGCCAGTAGGAGATCAGGATCGGTCCTCGACGTCTCCTCCTTCCCAGCCCCGGTCGTCCACGGCGATATGACGGAGCCGAGGAGGGAGGAGACGTTCCCCAGCACCTGCAGCAAGGCCTGCTGATAGGTGAGCAGGTCGGTCTTGAACTGACTCAGTTGTTCCTTCTGTTCCTGAAACTGCTGGAGGATGAGAGCCTCCATCCCTGCAGTCGACCCCGACGACGATGCTGTTGTTGTTGTTGTTGTTGTTCTGGGGAGCTGTTCTTTCTCGCTTGCCTGCTGATGGAAAAATATTGTGAGGCATCGTGGTGAAATCAGGCGCTCGTCAAAATAATAAAATCGAAGAAAACGGCATTTTTCTCGCGGTTTGACAATTTTTATCAAATTTTTGTATTTCGGCTCAACACCGTTTATGTCCATTTTAAAACACATTTCTGAGTGGATTTTACTGAATAATGGTTTTAATAAAGGCACAAAAAATAAAAATTTTCAGTTTCAAAAGACTCTCAAGCAATGAAAGTTTCCAAACTTTAGCGGCCATTTTCTCTCTAATTTTGCTTCTGAAACCAGGTGACCCTGACCTCCTTCAATTACAAATATCTTGACTTCTCTTCAAGTTGGATGGGCATTTTTTTTTTCACTGATAGTCATAGCAAGACAACTGAACAATCTTCAACATTTTAAGATGATTGATATCAATAACTCCACACGCCCAAAAATTGACGAGCATCTGATTCCACCACGTCATGACACTTGGCGGCGAGCTGCACAAATATAGGCCCTGCAATGCCCAAAATTTTAGACTAACCCTTTTTATTAAAAATGGAAGTTTCTTAATTTGTAGCATCAGGCTGCAGGTACTCAAGAAATTAATATTTAAATAAAATTAAAATTCCAGATTTTGAAATAGAATTTTTAAACACAAAAACATAGATCATGTTGATCTATAAACCTATAGGCCTATACTACATATATATTATCATATTTGTGAAAGTTCGTCACTTTGGTCATCTAAAACTTCCCAAACACTTAACTTTCGAACTTGAAAAAATTAACGGTGGTTCAGAATAATTTAATGGGTGCACAGTTATATTAAGGAGTCTGAAAAAGTCACTACTATACTGAACAATTTAAAGGTCGTAATGAGTAAGAAGACACACATTACTTAACACACACAAACACCCACATACCCACACGCGCATACACACACACACACACACACACAAAAACACACCCCTATTCTTTCTCCCACTCACCTCCATCAGCTTCACCTTCAGTTCCAGCAGATACGACTCCTCTTTGAACAGACGCAGTTTCATTTCTGACTGCCACACAGGAAGGAACTCTTCTTTCGATATGCCCTGAAGAGCGGCTTGGTTCAAAGCATTTAGAAAATCCATGGTAAACTGCAAAAACAGAAACAAATCTTAAAGTTGATGTAATAATAATAATAGATAATAGATAGCATTTGTATAGCGCATATCCCCGCTCAACAGCAGGCTCTATGCGCTTTACACTATATTATTACCCCAGCAGACCACAGATCACTCCGAAACATTCTCAGCTTCCCGGGAAGCATACAGTGCGAGCAGCCGATTAAGCGCTCAAACACTAACAAACTGACAAGA